TTTTTTTTTTTTTTTTTTTTTTTTTTTTTTTTTTTTTTTTTTTTTTCCACATTTGATCGTCATTTTATCTGGTCGCATGTGGGGATGCGGTGCTCGCCTTTCTTTCGAGTCGCTCATTGTTTTGTATATATTAGATTTGATGTATTAATCTTTGCAATGGGCGACTCGGATTCGATCTTGTGATCAGCTGTTTGTTTGGGATTCCCTCTCGACAATCACGGGGGGCTATAAGCCTATAACAGGGAAGATTGGCAGATTCGATCTTGTGACGGGCCTCTGGAAGGGTGATTGTAGATCTGATCGTGTGTATCTGATTTGCGAAATAAAATCGGGCTTGGAGGGCTGTATTTGATGAATCACGTGGTGTAAGAGATGAAACGACATCCGATTGGATAAGATCTTGGTGTTGGATAAGGGCGTATACTCATATTAGGCTCTCTATCTTAAATGTATCTGGCCGCATTTACGGCCAGATACGGATGAATTCTGACTGCAAGGACTTTGCAGAGATATAAAGTATAGAAGTCCTAGAGTGAGCATGGCTCAAAAAGATTGGATAAGATTGTGGATAAGATTAGATAAGGGGCTTATTACTCATATTAGCAGCTATATATCTCAAAAATGTATCTTACCGCGGTTACGGCCGGACCTGGATGGATCTGACTGCAATTACGTCCGGAAGCAAGTATAGAAATCCTAGTGTGAGTATGCCTCAAAAAGATTGGATAAAGATTGTGGATAAGATATCTGGAGAAGATTTGCGTAGATCTGATCGAGGGGATAAGATCGACCAGGGAGACGTTATCCTAAAAAGGAAATTTGATTCAAGACGATCAGATCGGGTCCGTAAAACTCTGTTTGCCTGTGTTGTCGTTGTCGAGTAAGCACTTGTGCCGTGCTGCCGCCACGTGGCACGCTGTCATGAGCCGTGCTGCCGCCACGTGGCACGCGGTCATGAGCCTACAGTATGTGGCGACCGTGAGCTGACTGAGCTGGACGGAGCTTCCTCGTACGTAAGAGAGGGGTCACGCACGTCTCAGCAATTCGCTCAAAAGTCTCTCCCTTTCCCCTCCCTCTCCCCCTCTCCCCCGCCGCCTCCGCCTTCTTCTCCCCCTCGTTTCCTGGCTTTTCACGACCACCTCCGAACCCACCACCTCCCCTTCCTCTTCGTCTCCGTCACTCCGGCTCTCAACGGACAGCTGTTGTTCCGCTGCAACCCGTTCTGTGCGTGATACCGACCACCTACCTCCCCCCCCCTCTCTCTCCCCTCCCTTTGCTTTCTCTTTTTCGTCTGCTCTTTTCTCCCCTCCCTCCCTCCCTCTCTCTTTTTCTGCGCTCCTCTCCTCCTCCTCCTCTTCTGATCGGCTTCGCTCTCCTATCGGGGAAAGATTTAGTCTGCTGCTGCTATAGGCGAATCTGTAATGGTCGAGACGAGGACAGCATTGTGTTTCTCTCTCTCCTTAGATTCTGCTGTTAGGCTTCCGTTGTTTCCTAATTAGGGTGATTGGATTGACCGTGCTGTTGATTGGGTTGCGGTTCGTTCGTAGGATGAACCCTAACGATGATGCGCGTCACGACTGTTCCTGACGAAGATCGAGCGCCGAGGCGCGCAGGGGGGAGAGAGACGGGCGGGGGCCCGGGGGGCGGGGGCAAGAAGAAGAGCGGGAGGGAGGAGGGGGTGTGAAGGAGGAGAAGGAGCGGAGAAGAAGAGTG